CACAGCCCCTCAATGGCACCGCGCCTGTGCCCAGGGCCCGGCCTGCCCCAGCCAGCCCCGCACAGCCCCCGCTCGCAGAGGGCAGGGATCCCCGGTGCAGCAGGGCCCCGCGGTGCCCGGAGGGTGTGTCCGGAGCCCCTCAGAGCCCCCGCGGGTCCCCCAGAGCCCCCGGCCCGGCCCGGCCCCTCAGACCCCGCTCACCTGCCCGGGCTGCTCCGCTCGCTCCGCCGCCGCCATCTTCCCAGGCGTGCCCAATCCACCCCCGAGCGCGCGAGGCAGCGCCCTCCCCTCCCGCAGGCGCGGCGAGCCGAGCGCCGGCGCATCGCTGCGCCCCGCGGAGCACCCACGGGTGACGGGAGCACCCACGGGTGCGGGGAGCGGGCGGTCTCCGCCGGAACACGCGGGCCGTGTCGCTGCCCTTCCCGGCAGGAGCGCCTGCCCTGCCCGCAGGGGCATCGTCCGGCGCCGGGCGATGGCGGCGCGGCTGAAGCGCTGCGTGGTGCGGCGGCGGGACGGGCCGGAGCAGCACGGCGTGGGCGCGTCCTGCCTGCGGGAGCTGCGGGACAAGGGTGAGCCCGGCGGGAGCCCCGGGCATCCCGGACCCTCCCGCGGTGCCGGCTGAGCCCCCGGGGCTCCCGGGGGATGCGGAGGGAGGTGGGAAACACTGGGTGGTCGGGCCAATGCTGTAATGGGCTGCCCGGGGAGGCGGCGGAGTCACCGTCGCTGGGGGTGTTCGGGAGGTGTCTGGATCTGGCGCTGGGTGATGGTTTAGGGGTTACGGTGGCAGTGCTGGGTGATGGTTGTACTGGGTGATCCTAAAGGTCTCTTCCAACCTTGAGGATTCCATGATTCTGTGATTCTAATATTAATTTCTGGAGGGGAGCCTGTGCTAAAGAAGAGCCGTAAGGAGACAGGTCTGGGCTCCAGCCTCAGTCACTGAGAGTTGCCTGTGCCTCCTGCCGGGGGTAATTAAAGGGCACTGCTGTGTCACTTTTGTCATTTAATTAGGGGTTTTTTTCTGTTGTGCAGCTTGTGGTGTTCTGGCCATTGACAAGGCCAGGGAGCCCATCACCTTGGTGCTGGCAGAAGATGGAACCATTGTGGATGATGAGGATTACTTCTTGTGTTTGCCAGCTAACACCAAGTTTGTGGCACTGGCCAAGGATGAGAAATGGTCAGGCAAAAGCTCAGGTAGGCTGTGGGTGAGGGAACACGGGAGGGGAGGGTGTCTGGAATACACCTGGTGACATTAGGCTGTCTCAGGTGGGTCAGGAGTGACCCTGGGAGCTGATGACTCTTGTGTCAGACAGTGGAACATCCTGGCTCTCAGAGGCTGTGGATGAAGTGGACAGTGCTGCAGAGAAGTGGAAGCAGCTGGCCAGGCAGCTGAAGGGGGACCTGTCCAATATCATCCTGATGTCTGAGGAAGACCTCCAGGTACAGTGGGGAAACCCCCAATCCTTGGCTCTGCCCATCATCCATTCATCTCAGTAGAGAACAGAATCAGTAAACAAGATCTCAGCTTAATTCAGCTGCTGCTGTGTGGCTGTTGGTGCCAGGTCACATCTCTGGGGTAGGGGAAACACTCCAGTGTCTGAGGAGGGTGCCCTCAACCCCTGACTGTCCCTGGAGGCCTTTTGGCTCCTGGTAAAGAACGGTGGCTTCACAAGGAACCTTGTGGGCCACGCTGGGTTTCAGGAGGGCCGGTCCCTGCTGCTGGTGCTGCATTCAGTGCCATGGGACGAGCTGCTCAGCACTGGCATTGTTTTCAGGTGCTGATCGATGTGCCCCCTTCAGACCTGGCAGCAGAGCTGGCCCAGAGTGAAAGCAAAGCACGGGTGCTGCAGGACACCCTGCAGCAGGTGCTGGACAGAAGAGAAGAGGAGCGTCAGTCCAGGCAGCTCCTGGAGCTCTACCTGGAGGCCCTGAAAACTGAGGACAGTGTCTTAAGCAAAGTAGCAGGTAGGGAGCACGGGGATGCTGCAGAGGGAACTTCCCAGAGATGCCTGAAATAGTTGGTGGAATAAATAAGGTGGAGTGAGGGACTGGAGTGAGTCATTTGCTCAGCAGCTCTTAGTGGGGTTAATGCAAGAGCTGGTGTAGTGTATATGGTGTGAGAATTCTCTGACCTGGTGAGAGAATTCTCACAATACCTGAAAGCAGAACACTGGGAGAAAAGCTTAAATCACATAGGCATTATGGATTTCTTAAGATTTCTTAATCTCACAACCATCAAAGCAGTGCAGGCCACGCGTCAGGGACTGTACTGACTCTGCTCCCTTTCAGAACCTCAGGCTGCACCAAGGAAGGAGATGGATGTGGTTGACACAGGTACCAGCAGCACAGGCACTCCAGCCAAAACAGCCCTCAGTGAGCAGATCCTGGCTGCTCTGAGGGAGAAACCTGCTCCAGAGCTCTGCTTGGACAGCCAGGACCTAGAGGTGGGTGAGAATGACACAGCCACATCCAGGAAAACCTTTCCCTCTGGAGAGAGAGGCTGTAGGGGAAGCTGTCCTTGCTCCTGGAGGCTCTGATGTCAGTAGATCTCAGTCTCAGCCTGGTGAGATTGAGTATTTCTCTCCCTCAGTACCTCTACCCCCTGCTTGCAGCCCCTCTGTGTCAGCCAGCTGACACTGTTTCACATACTCCAAAAAGCCACAAAATAATCTGGGGTTTGGTCTCTGACAGGTCATAGTCAGCTGTCTTACCAGCAGGGTGGGTTTTTGTATGCAGATGCATCTAACTATATTCTTTTATACATCCCAAATCAACAACTCATTATTTTTGAAAACTACAAATAAAACCCCCAGCTGGGAAAGCCCAGCTAAACTGTAACCATCACAGAAAGGTGTCCTTTTCAAGCTGTGAACTGGCTGCTGTTGCTTTTCCCTGCTGTAGAAACTAAGTTTCTGTTCCTTTGAACATCTGAACAGAGCTTCAAGCTCTGAGTGCTGGCAGAACACTGGAGAAGCCCATGGAATAGGTGATGAAATCTGGGAACACCTTCAGTTCCAAAGTGTCAGTGCTAAACAGGAGCCTTGTTCCTGCTGCTGTTCACGTGGGCAGAGGGTCAGGGGTGGGGGAGTCGGTGGAAAAGACTTAGAAATCTGCTCTCCTACAGCTGGTGCTGAAGGAAGACAGAGCAGCCCTGGCCTCGGCTCTGGGATGGGACAAGCAGAAGGCTGCAGCTCTGCAGGCAGCCTGTGACCAGGAGCTCTCCAAGCGCCTCCAGCAGGTGCAGGCCCTGCATTCCCTGAGGAGCACGTCCAAGGGCAAGAAAACCCTGCCATGGGGGGACTGGCCCAGCTCAAAACGCAAAAAATAACCCTGCACTGCTGCTGGCAGCTCAGCCCTGCTCCTGCCTTAGAATCCACCCCAGCAAACACACATCCTGCCAGCCAGAGCGTGCTGGGCATCCTGTGCTCTGGCCATGGACAGGGGAAATCTGGACATTGTCCGAGGCTTACACTCCTGGGGTGATTCAAATCATGTGTGACCAAAGGGATTTTGACTTTTTGCAGAATGCTGGAACAATGGTATTGCTAAACACAGCATGTAAGGGTTCAGCTTTGCAAACCTGGTTGGGAGCCAGAAGCTTCCATCTGATAGTGGTGGCTGCAGCTCCTGAGGCCCCGGGCACTTTGCTTGCCTTGTCCCCTCTCCATTTTCAGTGCAAATGGTGGAAGACCCCTGGGAGACACTTTGGAGCACAGTTGTGAACAGGGCAGAGGGTTTAACCAGCTGCTGCCTGGCTTTAGGCTCCAGGAACTTGAGTTCTCACACTGATTTCATCAGTTAAAGTAAATTCAGTGCTTTCTCTTGGGTGCTGTGTAAGAACTAACTCGTAAAACACAGCAAAGGTGGAAATAATTGCTTTGTAGGGCTGTGTGACAGAAGACTTGCATTTGGCCTGCTGTGTTATTCTCCTTAGTGTAGCATCATGATGCTTTTGTACTAACTGGCTTATTTTTCAATTTGTTAAAGCCTTTTTTTCTAATACCAATAAAAGCTTTTTATCTCACTGTTGGGCTAGTTGTGATATTTCCACCAGCTGCTATAATTAATGTGCTGAATTCTTCTAAAAGAAATCTCATCCCTGGAAGTGGAACAGTCTGGGATGGGGGAAAGGGAGGGCACTGAAGAGCCATTGTGTAAAATGAGATGGGGATTCATGACATTCCCCTGTTCTGCACTGCAGCCCTTGATTTTATTTGATCAGTAATGGATAGTTACAGCTTACAGCTCAAACACAGAGCAAGACTACACCTAGAACTTCTCAAGTGCAATCAGAAATAGTCTATCATCCAGTACCTTCCTTATCTTGGGAGAGTGTTTAATCTAAAAGTCTAACTAAAAAGAGAAGCTGATGACTTTAATCTTGGTTTGGAGGAGTTGGCCTAAGCTGTATCCTGCAGGAAGGAATAAGTGACTTCAAGGAAGAGTCTGTCTCATGAATCAAGGGCTGAGCAAGAGAAACAGTGTTCAAGTCTTTCCTCTCTTGCTGCATATTTTGGACTATCCTTGGCAAGCTAATTCTTGCTGGATCAAGTTGGCCTACACAGCCTTCTCATTTCACTTGGCTATTTCTAATTACTTATGTCTTTAAATCTGCTTCTTTTGAATCAAATTATTTTTGGATTCTTTTTCACAGCACTCTGTAAAGGCTCTGCCAGCCTGGCAGAGGGCAGTAGGGATCAGTGTGTGCCCACTGCTCCAGAGCCACAGTGCCACCTGAAAATGGGAACAACTGACAGCAAAGATTATACCCCAGCACTGTCACAGGTGGGAAATGGCACAAAACATCTTTAAATTGTCAAGGCAACAAGTAAGAGACATGGCTGTTGAAACAAAACCAGAATATTCAATATGCCTGAGCAAAAGTATCCAGACTGGAAGCAAGGAGGAAGTCAAACAGTTACTGGAGAAACTGAGTAGCAACATGGAGGATGTTGCACATACTGAGTTATAACGGTTCAGTGAGAAGGTTCTGCTTTAAACTCTTTATTTAAAGGCTTCTCATTTTAGTAACAGATACCTTTTGTGAGCAATTAAGGCATCTTGGGCATAAACTTTACTGAATTCTGACAGAACTTGCATTTTTGGAACAATAAAAATCCAACTCATCGTGTTCACCTAAAAACCTAAAGGTTCATTACTGGTGTTAACCTGCAAGAGGAATCTTACATAGGAATCTTACTAATTCTGGTTTCTCTAGGATACTAAGAGAAGCTGACCTGAGGCATTACTTGAAAGGTAGATCATGACATGTTGGAATCTTCATTTTCAGTCAGAGCTGCTTCTTTTTCCCCTGGAGTTCTCTCTCCCTTGGCTGCACTGGACTTCTTTTTCTTCTTCTCCTTTTGCTCCATGTTATTCAATGCAAGCTCATCACTCTTCTGGGTGATGTATTTTAGCTGAGAACAACAAACTAATCAGTCCTCTACTGAAGAATTTCATTTATTCACAAGAAATTAGAGAGAAATGCTGAAGAGAAAGTAATAGGGCAAATTCTTACTACAAGAAAGATGACAGACTCCAAAAAAACTCATTTACTCTGCCTTCTCAGGCAAGTTCGTGTTGCATATTTCAAACCACATATGAAAGGAAAAAAATCTCCTTACATGAAATTAAAATCAGTATTGGAAGCTTCCTTCTTCATGGTTCCATGTACAGGTGTGTCATAACATTAGTGAGTTTAATCCACTGAACTTCACCCAGACCAGCCCAAGAGGGAATGCAATGATTCCATGATCCCTGTGTTAAATGTGAGGAGACTCTCAAGCTAATCCTGGGCTACCACAAAGAAACTCATCAGGAAAAAAGCAAAGTGGTTCATTTCCAGGACTGATGATGCTGTGTCTGTTTACTGCAGTTCTGTACTTGGAACCTCAGCAACCCTTCTGCAACTCCTGAATTGCAATGAGATGTGTGTTCCCACAGTGAGGCAGAGTGGCATGGAGTGAAATAAGATGAAAATTTAAAAATCACTGGATTTGTGCCCATTCATCATCAGTAAGGCAGTGAAATTGCCTAAACAACAGTTGCTTCATCACCTATATCCTTCATTCAAATGCTCTGAACTAACTGGTTTAAGAATGTTGTGAGACAGAAAATACAGTGACTCTCACCAAAGAGCTGCTCCTTCTAGCCAAAAGCTTCACATCTTCTGTATTGATTGTGCTTCGTTTTGCATGCCTGCATAAAATAAAACCACCCCTTAACATGTTTGCCAACACTGTCACCCCCAAACCATCCACTATCGCTGTGTGTCACTGCATTTGACAATTATTTACAGTCCTTAATTTAAACAATGACTTGTGCCACACAAATGAGCTTCCAAGATCAGGAAGCACCTGCAGGGAATATCTATTTCCTAACTTCACAGCCACTATTTAAGCAGACAACAGAACACTTAAAACCGTGAATTACAAGACGTGTCTTAAAGATTACCTAGGAGCTAACACGAAAGAAGGAAGCTTTTGTAACGACCAGTGCCTACCTTGCAAACATTTCAAGATCTCTTGCAAAGGTTTCTGGAGAAAACACAAAGATGACACATATTTTAAAATGCTGAGGGGGGAGAGATACATAATACACAACAGCTGCTACAAAGATATGAAGTGCAAGTTATCCAAGTCAATTATGAGACGTGACCACAGCTGGTTATTCGGTGCCACTCTTGCACAGGCACAGTATTTCCACAGACACTTAGATGCTTTTTTCAGGTCTGAAAAGTAGAAACGCTATTTCTTGTACTGTTAAAAACACAAAGCAGGGGAATGCCCCAGTGACACCTAGTTCGGTGCTCTTATTTTTAAGCCCCGCGTCTCCAGCAGTGGCTCCCGAACCCAGGAGTGTAACCCAAGTAACCCATGTAGAACAGGGTAAGCCAGGTAACCCCAGGTAAGGTAAGCCCAGGTAACCCACGTATCACCAGGTAACCCCAGGTAACGTGGGCTGTACCGCACTGTCGGAAGGTGATCTCCGAGATAGCCGCGATGCTCTGCTTGCTGAACTGCACGTCCTTGTCCTCCTCCACCTCCTGGCACAGGCACCCCACCGTGTAGTGCACCGCCGCCTTCAGCCTCTGCAGGGACCAAGGCGGGGGCAGGCAGTGACACAGCGGCTCTGCTCTCGGCCACCACAGCCGGCTGCGGGCGGTGGCTCAGGGCCCCGAGCCCGGGGTGCCGCCGGTACCTGTGTGAGCAGCAGCCGCTCCTCTCCGCCCGCCGCCATCGCCCCCTCAGAGTTTCCCGCCCAGCGCGCGGGGCGGGGCCGCGCAGCCGCCATGTCGGGCCCCGCCCCGGGGCCGCTGTGAGGGGAGCTGCTGTGAGGGGAGCCGCGAGCACTCGGGTATTTCGCGGAAATCCCAAATAGTTACTGCGTGCTCTGCGGAAAAGTCGATTGAAAGTGGAAGATGTGCAATTATAAGTAGCTGCCTTGGCAGAAATAAATGGAGGGAAAAAAAAAATTGCTACAAAAATCAGCGAGCGGCACAAAATTTAACGCTTCTGAGGGACGAACGAAAGGTTCAGACATCCAGGTGAATTTTCAGAAGTCCCGGAGATGACTGGCAGTAGCATTGCAGGGAGGGGATATAAAGCAGAGCCAACTGTGGGTATTTTTAATTGCACCCCTGGGAAGAAGAGGCAAAGAATCAGGGAGATTTGGGGTAAAAGACATTTTGGCCAGCAGCAGTGAAAACAAAAAAGCTTCAATACATTTATAACTAAATTTATTTAGCTTTCTTATATGATATATATATATTGAGATATACATATATATATATATGAAATATACCCACAAGTTATTACAAAAGTGTCCAAACACAAGTTCTAGCACAGTACAGTAAAAAGTGATTTCTAGGAGAAATATTTGAGATCTACAGTATCTTGGCTTCAAGTGGAAGGATTTCCATTAGACATTGTAGGCAGAAGAGGACACATTTCCTCCATGGCCTGTCCAGTTAGTGTGGACAAATACCCCTGGCTTTGATAATAATTCGTATGTGTGTGCACCAAAGTAATCCCGCTGAGCCTGCAACGAGAACACACAAAACAGACACATCAATATCACAGCCACATGAGCACTACAAGTGGCACCTACTGGTACTCGACTACAGGAACACTAGAAAAAAGATCTGACTGCAATAGCATAACATTCAAATTTATTTTCTCATTATTAGAAAAATCACTGCAATGAAACATTTATTAACATCTAGTAATCAGGGGTTCTGTAGAAACACAGCTTACTGTCACTGAGGCCTTCAAAGCAGTGCCTAAATAACAACATGATGGTATTCCAGTACCCACCTGAATCAGGTTAGCTGGCAGTACCTCATGCCTGTATCCATCATAAAAAGAGAGTGCTGTGGTGAAGCAGGGCATAGGGATTCCAATCTGTACTCCAGTACTGATCACACGGCGCCAGGAGTCCTGAGAGACAGGAAAACAGGGGGGAAATAAAGAGAAAAGAAATTAATCAGTGCTTGCTCAGAGGTACGTGCAGGCACGTGAACTATTTTAGTAAAACTCTGTGCTATTTCACATTCTATCATATCTAATAACCAATTCTCAGCAAATCAGCAGTAGATTCCTGATTTTACATAAACAGGTTGGTCCAAAACAAAGGCAAGTAATTAAAAGTTAACAACAGGACAAAAAGAGCTGAGGCACGCAGTCAAACCACAGCCTCGAGCAAGGATGCTGTTCTTTCACATCAACATGATCAGAACATGCCAAAAGCACAAACCCAGCAGGGTTCTGAGCAAACACTGAGGCACTTCCAGGACCTCTCACCAAGCCTGGGACAAAACTCGCCCAGAGGTGTAAGAGGTCAGTGTGATATTCCAGAGAAACACGTGGATAATCCCCGGTACGGCTGTTCATCTGATCTAGTAACTTGCATGGAATATTCAGATTCAGTTACAAGGGTTATTAATGATAATACATGACTTCTTTGTTGGCCAGATAATCTGGTTTTAATTCTGCCTGTCAGCTCCATCCAAATCAGGACACTGTTTGGACAGACCCAGGCCCAAAGAACGGCGGGTCTGGAACGCTGTTGTTTTGGGGCTACAGCAAACAATGGTACTGGAACAGAAATCCAAGTGCACGGGGCAGTGATGACAATGTTCATACAGGCCAGGCATTTTTCCCTCATATTGTGGTCCTGCTAAATTGCTATTGCCTAAGGCTCTTCCATAACAGTAAAATGGAAACCTTCAGTTTCCAGTTGTAGCTGGGCCAGAATTAAAGAGAAGAACCACGACAGTGCTGGCTGTAAGCTATTGTTTCTGTGCTCTCCTTTCCTTGGAACTCACCTGACAGTTTTCAACAGCTGTCCTAAAGAAATCATCCAGCAGCAAATTCTGGAGGTCAGGGTTTCGATCAAAAGCATCTTTGATTTTTCCCAGGAAAACACTAGGCAGAAGTAAAGCAGGAATAAATTTCACAGCTTTCAACAAAGGCCCAGAATCCAAAACTTACAGTGCCAAAACTTCCCTCAGCCAGACTCAGATTCCAAACATTACAAAGACCAAAGAAAATCCGCAGCAGATTTTCTAAGCCACCAGAACAGAGTTCATCTGGTAACCTTTAGTCTGTCTCTGTACAGAAACAGCCTCTCCTCATCAGCAGAGTAACTCTGTGGATTTTCCAAGGAAAGCTCCAGGCTTGTCAGCCAAGCACCACATAAACTAAACTGCCTGCTCTTCTCCCCTCAGCAACCAAGTTACCTCCTCATCTTAATTACCTCCTGATGATGCAGCCTCCCCTCCACATCAGTGCAATGGCACCGTAATTCAGCGTCCAGCCAAATTCCTTGGCTGCTTGTCTCAGCAGCATGAAGCCTTGAGCATAGGAGATAATCTTGGAGGCATACAGGGCCTAAAAAAAAAAAAATCACATTCCAAGAGAAGTCCCACAAAGTTGAACTAGAAACTTCATGGTCCACATGTTCTGTTTAGTCCACATCTCAACAGGGATGAGTTGACACATTCCAGCTATTTGAGAACCAGAATATCCTTTCTAGTTGTTGGAAAGCTTGGTCTCAGCAGAGAGGGATATCAAGAGATCAATGCCCGTTGCAAAGACAGGAGTGTTGAGGGGTGGAAAAGCTCCTGTGCATGAATTATGAACCTCTGCACCCCAGGCAGTGACCACTGCCCACTGTGGTGAGACTTGAATTCCCTCAGGACTATTCTTTGGTGAGGAACAGGTCACACTGTGCTCTGTGGCCATCACTAGACAGTGCACAGGCTGAAAGCAGGAACCAATTGTTATGAAATATAAACACGAGAGCCCCTCCCCAGGGCTCACAGCACCCAGACCTGCTCTGGTGGGCAGCTCTGACCAGCACAGGCACTCACCTTGCGGATGTCCTCCAGGAAGGCCTTCTTGTTCCCACTGAACTGAGTCACTTTGGGCCCTCCCAGCAGCTTACTGGCCTGCACTCTCTCATCCTTGAGGGAAGACAGGCACCGTGCAAACACAGCTTCACCTTCGGGCACGGCAGGAAAGGGAGATCATCAGAAAGCTGAGCATCACTGTCAGTGTCTGAGAGTGACACGGTGAGTGTCACTGCTCCATCAGCCACACACACAGTGAAACACAGTCACGTGGGCAAGGAGAATCAACGATAAATCAGCAGGTTATAGGGGGAATAAGATTCATAAATCTGGGAGACCCCTAACCAGTATTCAGAAGCCCATTAGAAAGTTTTATAACATCACTAAGCAGGTTACTAAATGTCATTTGTCAGGGCTAAGGAGTTAGCATAGGAGTACCTTCAGCTCATAGAGAGAAAGCCTGAATGACAGTCTCTTGATCTGGCTCAGTCAATTCCTAATCATGCTGGTTTAAGCAGTATTTATTTGCAATTGATGACAGTATTGTAAAATGGGAGAGAAATAAAGTTTTACTTTCAGGGCCTGATAGGAGGAAAGCAACTAAGTGTTCATACTGTACCTCTGTCCACCTTTTAAGTTAGTCATGAATTATCAAAGAAAAAAACCACGCCCCAAAAATCAAACCAACAACAACATAAAAAGAAGAATGAGTAATGTTTGCACAAGGTTCTGGATCCTCCCTGCAGCAGGATTAGCATATCACAACTAAATCACAACTGGCTCCTTTCCATTTCTGCCAAAACTTCCTTCTACACTGGGGAGGAGCAGCGGGGTGGGAAAAGCAGGGAAAAGCAGGAGTAGCATGACTCTGCTCTTACAGGCACAAGTTTGCAAGTCATGCTTATGTCGTAAAACCACACAGAGCAACTGCCCTGAGAGCAGCCACGTTTGCACAAGGACTATGGCACACACTTCCCATCAGCCCAGCATTACCCAACCACGCTCCCTGGCACTGCACAGCACTCAGCAGGGAGTGCCTCTGCCACCCTTGATCTTTGCAAGAACCCCAAACAGCACAATATCAACAGCACAAGAAACAAACACTGTTTCAGGCCTAGAACTGAAAGACTACAGCAGCAGTAGAATATTAAAACCATCTGCAGAGGTTGTTCTGCTGTTGGAATGCACCCATGTTTCTTTGAGAGCTACACTGCAGGTACTCTCTTTTAGCTACTAAATATAATTATTCTTATCTTCAGGACTGGACCAGCCAAGGTAAAGGAAAAAAGGAAGAGAAACATGAAAATGAAAGCAATTTTGAGAGCAAAGAACCTGTTGAGTCATTTAATTACCCAACAGGAAGCCCACACTGGACCAGTGGTATTAGGGCACTGCAGAGGTGTTGCAGATGTATTACAGCTCCTGTCTTACAACACTCCCAGCACAGCACTTCATGCTCACCTGTCCCCAGGTGCTCACAGCACTGTGGGGACACCAGGGACACAGGTGTGACAACAGTACTGCCACCATTTAGGGAATGAGGTAAAAACAAGCCCCTCAGACAAAACCAGTAACCAGGGCAGAAAGGCTGAACAGCTACACCTAGAAAAACCTCCTTACTGGGGTGTGGTACCTGCAGTGGGAAGGATGGAGCCAGGTGGAGGAACAGTTACCTATGAGTGTGACAGGGACTCCGTACTCCAGGGCAGAAATGGCTGTCCACTTCCCTGTGCCCTTCTGTCCCGCGCTGTCCCGGATCTTTGGGAGGAGGTACTTGCCATCACTGTCTTTGAATTTGAGAATATTGGCTGTGATTTCAATCAGGAAAGAGTCCAGCTCTGTCTTATTCCATTCCTGAAACACCTGCAAACGCAGAAGAAATGTGCTTGTATGCATATATATATATATATATATGCACACCCCCAATCTGCTATATCTACAATATACATCACCTGATTTATTGATTTATGTATGCTTTTTGCCTGTTTGATTACAATGCTCAGTGTTTCACTAGCTCTTTTCAGGCAAGGGAATTCCTATCTCTACACAGGAAGGTGCTTTCTGGGGAGAAATCAGCAGAGAATGAGAGGGTTTAGACAACTCCTCTAAACATTCAGCTGACTGTGCTTGCTGCTCCTACCTCATGGGAAGTTCAGGAATATCATGCACTGCCCTTGCAGGATGCACATCAGAAAAATTCCCTTCATGTGTGTGCAGCTGCTTCACCCAAGCCCAGCCCCTCAGCAGGGG